AAATAAGACTAGCATCGTCCGTAAACTTAGACGGTCGGCAGGAAACAGTTAACCCTGACATTCGGTATTGTTAAACGCTAACTGATTAAGACCCTTAGTTCTTGACTGTGCGCCCCTAATAGTCGTATGTAATTACCCTAAACTATATTTATATGTTAAACCTGCTTCTAATCTTAGTTGTTGTCTAAGCTTTTAAGTGTTTATCTACTAAAGGCCGGATAAAGATCAACTTGTTACTTAAACCCAGTTATCAGTCTGTGTTATCTAGTAGCTTATCTTACCTCTTACCTGCCTTTCTTGAATAGATACAATGGCCTATTCGCGTCATTGAAACTAAATAGAAATCTTTTTAAGACCCTAATATTTCTTTAGGGTATGTTTAATTAATATGCAGACAAGGCGTGCTATGTGCATAATTCTAGGCAGGAGGATACTTGACTAAGGAAGCCTCTAGCGCGAGCTATGTCCCCGTAGGGCAGAGCCAAGCCAAACTTATCTCCACCTAATACTATATAGATAACTGTTTAATATTATTAAACACCTTTTGATAGTTATTCTCAACCCCCTAACTGTAAAAACATTATATGATTATTAAAAAAATATTTTAGTAAACTCTTTTATTCGCTATCTAGTATTATGCGGCAGCCAAGGTTTAGATAAATTTAGTTACAAACTTATAAATACCTTCCTTATTCCTCTCCTAAGACGTCCTTTAATTACAGGCATTATATGCTTTAAATCCCTGAACTCTCTTTAAGTCTTCCAATTATGTACTCCGGTAGCGGCCTAGTTAAGCCTAACAGCGCATGTCATTTCCTATCTAATCTAATTTTCTATCTAAGATTCATGATAATATCCTCTATACTACCTCCCCCGGGCTTTACAATTCTACTAACCTATTTCGGTTAAAGTATTGTGATGCAGTGACTTTACTATTAGGCTATAGCTAACTAATTAATTTTATAGTTCTAATAATCGTACAGCCGCAGTCTTATGCCGGAAGTTTAGTGGCCGGCCAGCCGCTGTAGCTACTTTAGTAAATCTAGGGACTGTCTTAACCTATCTCCTTAGGTTTAGAACAGTAGGTCTCCTAAACTATTTAGAAAGAAGTTTAACAGCAGCTTAGCCTGCTTATCTAGGGAGCTTAGAGGGCTTAGGTAGTAATTCTACAGAGAAGAATCTATAAGTTAGAGTAAGAAGTGAAGCGTCTTAGATAGGAAAAGGAGTAAAGTACTATATGGTGAGCACGCGGATAAATGTAGGGACGTTAATATCGACTCGGCCGGAGTACGTAGTATATGTATTAGGGAAGTAGGTTGTAGTAATAAGGATGTTAAATGTTTCGCAGTTTTGAATCTTGAGGGATTTGGAGGCGATCGTAGGGCCTAAGAGCTTGTCTATTGGATTATAATACATTAAGAGGCGCTGCAAAGCAGCCGCATTTTGTCGCCCAGGCCACTGTCACGTTTGTATCGTTTTTCTTTTTATATCACTTTGGATACCGTATAGAGGCTAAGAATTAGTGATTTAATAGAGCAGCGTCTTTAGTTCAGGCATAGCTTAAATATCTTATTTTACCTCGTGATGTATTGACGATTGTGATACTTGGAAATAGTTTAATATAGGGCGGAGGGAGCAAGGTACAGATTTAATACCAGTTTTACAGGTATCCCTTTGACGTTTTTAGCTTTACAGTTTAATAGAAGATCAATCTTCGTTAACTTTTTTTACCTACAGTAGGTTGTAGTCATAGTATTTAATAGCAGTATTTTAACTCCAATACATTAACTATGCCTATATGTATTACAGCTAGGAGAATCCTTCACTTCCAGAGGTTATAAAACCATTCTCTCACGCCCGGTATCCGATAGTGAGATCGTGTGTTTTGACTGATTACCACGAGTCACGCTGAAGTCTTATGCGTGGCAGTGGTTCGTCCGTAGATCTGGCGGGATCTCAGGTATTTCAGGCTAGTAGATAAACTAAGAGTAGAAGATGGAGAGTCTAGATAGTACTATTGTGGATGTTTGAGTGATAAAAGAAAACGAGAGCGCTACCTTTCTAGGTATATTCATCCGAAAACTATTCATCGAAGCTATTCCCATGCTTTGGCTGGATAGTAGATGGAAGAACCAATCAATGAACGGCAGCCCAGCCATCGGCCTGTTTTTTATCATCTCCAGGCCCCAACTCAGAAGCGGTACGACAGATCTGGGAGCGTCTCCTCTGCTTTATCTACCATACTACGCAGCTATAACAGTCAATTCGATTAGATCACCGCGTAACCGGGCTACAGGCGGATCTGCTCTTTCAGATAAAGCAATTGGGTCGGCAGTTATATGAACCTTTGGCACGGGTAAGGTTTGTTTCTCAGTGAATGCTAAGTGACGAGTCGAGGGATGGTAGTCCGCTCAGAAGCCTGACACTTTGCGTCGGAGTGATGATCACTGCGGCTGCTCGGAACTCCCAGTATGTCTCTTCACAGATTGATAGCAAACTTCTGAGAGCGTTAGACACGGTCCTTAGGGCGCAAGTGTAGTTATAATCTAGCTGGAAGTTCGCTACATCGTTAAATCTGTGGGACTCTATCTGATTATGAAATATTTATAAGGCCAGTGACTGTCTTATAATAGGGTAAGGAGCTGCCAGATCTATCGAAATTAAGCTCCTACTCAAGGTGCAGATACTTGCTGTTCGTATCCTCCCAGAGATAGCTATCCGTTAAAATGATCGTAGCGCGGATAATGAAATAACCCCATCTAATGCGCATAATTGTAAAGGGAGGCTTCTTAAAAGAGAGCTCTGAGGGAATAAATATTGGATGCTACAGTAGATGCCATAGTCACAGATATCAGTCTTATTTTTAAGCAGAAACTAGTCTAAAAAAAGCTTTGGGACGCTTACTAAATGCATCTTAACCTCTTCGATTCTCTCTAGCTGGGAAACACGGACATAGAATGTCTATATATACCTGTTATCCGAAGAGGGGTGTAAGGGTGCAACGAGTTGATGCGTGTTACCAATTACCAAAGTCGTATGCGCTATAGCTTCCAGACTCAATATTGATGGTTTAGAGTTAAGAACTTGAGTGCTAGTGGCGTAGTTGTCTAGTAAGAGAAGGTTTATTTCTTTGGCAATATCTTCTGAGACAGAATCTCTATCTATAGAACCCACATAATCGGTTAGGCTATCGAAATACTTCTCCATTAAAAATAGTTTGTCAAGACCGGCTATCGATTTTTGTAAGACGACTACCCGAAGCCATGCGATCTACTTCAAGATTTCGTCCTACTTTTCCAGTTGTTTTGCGATTCTAATTATGTACTCTCTGATGAGAGTAGTATCCTTAGAAATTACAGATATATCGGATTTTATTTCTTGTATTACGTGCCTGAGGTGCCGAGCTATATCAGCATACTCTTCTAAAGGGGGATGTATCTGGGATTTTGGGCTTAACTCACAGCGATACTGTCTCAGCAGCTAGATTAAGCGCCGCTTTATATGCCGCAAGCAACGTGCGTATTTTCTAGGCCTCGATTCTGCCAGAGATCGCCCATTTAACCCTATTTAGGCCTTCATTTTCATATCCCTTTAGTAACGTCTCGAAGGTCGTTAGGTCCGTCTTATAGTGCTCCATAACTTCACAGATATATTAGCGGAGATCCTAGGTACTTCGTATAACGGTTTTCTTTTAGTATCGGCTTTTAGGATCTGGACGTTTAGGTTTAGATCTGAGAGCTTATGAGCCATCGTTGCCAGGTCTGCCCGAGCGTCACGGAAATTAATAATGAAATCCGTCACTGAAAGTGACAATCTAGTGATTACGTCTAAGAGCGAAACGCAGCCGACGGCTATAGAAAAAGGATCCATGATCGTAAAGTAGATTACTATAAGAAAGGGGTGTTGTTACACCAAATGCAATGAGCAGTGATGCGTATGTATAATTAGAATGCGTGAAGGGGAAAAGATATGTTCATGATAAGCAAGTGCGGAGTTCATGCAGCAGTGAGCACGTGCGCTCAGGTCAGTTATATACTATATCGTAAGGTAATAATATAGATAAAAAGACTGAACTGCGTTTCGCCAAGACCTTTAGGACGCTGGAGAAAAAGGTGTTTGTTTGGGGGGGGGGGCCTTCGGGCCACGCACGCGGGCGGCGGGAGCACGGCCGAACGTCGGAAATGAACCAATCAGCGGGCGTAGGAATCCAGCGGACGTCCGCTGGATTCAAGCCTAGGGAGTAGGCACGATTTGAGCCTATGGAATAGAGCGTTGCATCCGCATCGTGCACAGAATATTTTGACAACATGGGCTTCGACTTTACAAATCCTAAAGTGTAAATCTGGCGTGCGGTTTCAAATGATAGATCTACTGGTCCGATTGGTGAACATCAAGTATCTCAGGTACGCTTGATGCCCTTCCGGCCATACTGCGGCTCAAACGGCCGCCTAAGCGTGAACAGCATTGAAAGTCGTCTTGACAAGGAAATCCTTCATCACATTCTTCAAGAGGTTACAGATCTTCCGGCTCTCCATGCATTTAAAGTATGGTGCAACGTACCGGCCATCTGGAGACACAATTGGAACTTCCAAAATCTTCGTTCTTTGGCAGTTAGAGGCCTGGGGTGCGAGCCCGGAACTTTCTGGCTTCCAAGCTTCCCCGTTCTTCTGATGGAAGTCTTTCTATACACAACTTGGTGTTGAGCGCTGAGCGGAGCTCCTATCCATGTGAATTATGACACATGACATTAAAAGCAGTTGTCTGCTGAGAGAGTAGTCGTTTGTTGCAGTGCGTCCTGCATAGATGTTGCCTGTTTATCCGGTAACTTAGTACTCTGTAAAAGGAGTTTGAGGAAGAGAAAGAATGGGCTAGATTCGGGTAATATGTTATCCAGTGATTGCCATAATTCCGTCCGCATTTCAGGTGATCTACAGAAGAGAAGGAAAGGATGAGACGGTCACATGAGGTTGCTTCCACTACTTGCTTTCGGGAATCAATATTTAAGACGGTCTATCGCCTACTCTATCATATATATACATCTCGTCGATGTCGAGATCAGTGAGACTTGGGTCGAAGACCGGTGCTTGCTCGTTGAGCGAGGTCGATGACAGGGTAACAGACTGTAAAGGCACACTTCTTGCCATTCGTGCCGGCAAGTTAACACGATGTATGCCAACTTGTTGGATCCAATTCTTGGTGGATGTAAGATGGCTGACTTCCTGGTCAAGAGCCTGGGAAAGCCCAAGAATGCGACCGGGGGAGGTTATGGCAAGATACCGACGCAACTGCCTCAGGCCAGTTCGTCTGGAGACCAAAAGGAACACAGTCAACCCAATCAGGGCAACAATTATTCCCAGCGTAATGAACGCGGGGACAGCATATTGGATATGGTAGCGGATCCTTCTCGACCAAAGGACAACAGGCACGCTCGGTGTAGGTATTGTTTTGTCCCGTTCGGGCACACCGTTCCAGCGAAGAGAGGGTCGGGGCCCGCTATGCCAGCCCCGAGTACCGATAACCGAGTTTGCAGCCAGGTCGGTCCAGACCTGGTTGAGTAATTTCTCAGTGCCCGTGGATGAGGCGGAGAGCTCTAGCCACCGGGCGTAGAGAGCCAGGTCCAGCTTGCCCGTGTACGCCATTAAGGCTTCAGGAGAGAGCCCACCCAGTTGGATGCGAAAGAGATCCTGCAGCGCTCTCGCATAGAATAAATTCCCTGGCATGTTTGGTTCTCCGTTCGCTATAACCGGTTCGAGGCTTACTATGTCTGGAAACCCTGGTAGCCAAAGATGGTCCCGCTGAACCACAGAGATATCGTCACCGGTGATTGTCTCAGGAGACACTATTCCCCAGAGCGGTCGCACATTATAGAGTGTGTAGTTCTGATTTCGTTCAACACCCCAAAGAGGCATTTCGGAGGGATTCGAGTATGCCTTCTCATTGATGCTTTGAATAACCAGCTTCTCCAACCCACCAGTTCCATTGTAGTGGAATTTGACCTCGCGAATGGCTGCCTTGGTCCCAGCTGCGCAGGAATATATCGGGGTGCTCCATCTACTGTTGGCGTCTGGAAACAGGGCATTCCCCCCGTCGGTCCTCTGCGGAGCAGCGAATACCAACCCACACTCCGCAGCCACAAACGACATGTTGGATCGGGCGAAATATGAAGGGTACTGGCACGCCTCTCGACCAATTTGGAAAGCGTCGTTTCCAGTAACGTTGAAAGGATTTGGACCTGTCGTGGCCGCTATGCTTAGGTTGGACCCTGTAATCACCGCTCCGTAATCAGTAGACGTCTGTATGGTGGATGTGCTCAGAGAGACTCCAAATTCTCCACGGTTAAACTTGAGGGGGAACCGCTTGCCGACATTGGAGTTCATGTACGCAAAGGGTACCGATCCATCCGACCCGTTCGTTGTTATATTGAAATACTGCATCAGGAACATGTTATGACTCCACGCTGCTCTGTATGCACGGTCCTGCAGTGCCGGGTTGACTTGAAAGTTGCCCGGGTCGAGGGTAGGCCTGTCATGCGAAAGATTGGTGAACCCGCCATGGTCGACCAGTTCCCGATCCACAAATTCATCCGAGCCCGTATCGTTTGTTTGATATTTATAGTCCAGGGTCAAGTTGGTGTTCACGCAGCGTGTCTCGGGCTCGATGAACAGGATATCCTCCATCCACTCTGCACCCTCCAAAGCGTCAACTGGAACCGTGTGATTGCGAAAACCGACACGGCCGGTTTTAGTATCAACAATCAGCCCTTCCACCGCAAGTAGGTCATCTTCCAGAATTAACTGTGAGATTTGGCGATAGTAACCTTCCGAAAACTCATTTCCGAGTGGTCCATAACTTCCGGACGGTTGCCGTGATACGCGAAATGACCGCCATTGGATGTCAAACAAACTCGCAACGGTAGGAGGCACATCTCCGCTGGTAAACAAGTTGATTCTGTTTGGCCAGACTGAGAAATTTTCGGTTATGTCATCATTGGTCTGAGTCAGATTGGCTGGCGCCCCGGGGCAGCCGTTGAGCGACGTGTTGGAGATACCGTCCGTATAGCACATGCGGATTGACCGATAGCCGTCCCTTGGAGGTGTAGCCTTCCCGAAGGCTGAGGTGTCACGAACGTAGTGAAAGGCGGTCAACGTGGGGATGTCCTGAGGCATAACCGTGTCGTATAAACCCAGGGGAGTTACTATCCCAGCGATGGCGACGAGGACGAGCGCGATAAACTGGAGCCAAGTGTATATCTCTATCCTTCTCCCCACTCCGGTGCTGGCGGCTGTATCTGTACGCAGGAGCATTGGCCAAGAGGACGACTGGATCAGACGACTGACAACGGACCACGAGACGATTGAATTTTCATCTGGAAGTTGACCAACAACGATCAAGCTGATGACATGGGGGATCAGAATTCGGCCTATTGTATGTTACACTGGTGGATCATGTTCAGTAGACCATCACAACGTACTCACGAACACCCCAGCTGCAATGATACCAGACACAAACCCTACCGTGAGTTCTGGCATGGCCGAAGTATATATGTATATTTATAAGGCATAAAAATAGTGTAGTCCCGTGTGCTGATACCTTGTTGGCTTCAAGGCCTCTTATCTTTCGCAGACAGCTCATAAAAAAATCCATCATAGCCACAGAGGAGGCGTCAGGTCGTTATATGGTGAACTGATATTTATTGTAAGCCTGTCTAGCCTGTGTAGGTAGCAGTGGGATCGACGATGGCTCCATAGCCCACGCGAATAGAAGGGTTTTATTTCCACAAATAGAGGATCAGGGGGTCGTCCTTGGCTTCACATGGTCAGATTCCCTAGTGGGTCTGTTTATTTAGAATTTCTGATTCTGTTCTAAGTCCTACTAAACAGCAATATACGAAGTCGCCTGATACGAAGTCACTGTACCCACACACTTACGACCTTGCTTCAAGCGAAGTTATCTTGAAATGCACAGGTCCTGATAGGTTAGATGTTTGATACCCCTCCAGACCGCTCCTTTAAATAGTGTCTGCTCAGCCTCGTCAGGTACACGCCGTCGTTGGCCGGGTTAATCCTACTTCAAGGAAGACAAGTTTGTGATGTTGATATAACCCACAGGGAAGACAGGTAAATTGGCTGGGGCAGCGCTATCCGTAAATCTACGCCTTCCCTATGTCTAGACACCTATAGATTCGCGTCAACTACCCGAATGCAAAACACTGCCGATTGCCATCTCCAACATGGGCCGAAGCCGCTCAAGGATCCATCAAGCCGTCTGCGCCATGACGCTACAGAGAGAGGCAATCTTCGAGCGGCCAGGAGCACTATCGGTGGGAATAAAGTCCGAGCACTCATGGGAAACTTTGCTCAGCCACTAAGGGGACCTGGGCTATCATATGTAGAGACCGGCGCTTGCCCTAAATGTGGTTAATGCAGCAGGTTAGCTTTTCGATGGCCCCTTTCCGCCTACTTCGAAGGGTGGCATTATTCGCTGGCACTCTTCTCTCAAGGAAAGGAAAAGAACCAAAAGATACGTGATACAGACGCTTTAGATAATCTACATTAAGCTACCAATAGGATATTTGTGAAGACTCTCGGTTTAACGTTAGAGCAGAGTAGAGAGGCAAATTGGACGCATGCAAGGCTGTGACACTTTCCTTCCAGATATCCTCGAGGTCATCGCCGGAATGCCGAGCGCGGCGGTGCAGACAGAATTCCGCTGATCACCATTATGCACTTCCCGAAATAGTATCCTTCACGAAAAAAGCAATCAGTAATTCATTGCCAGTAGAGACAGCCAATCAGCGGGCTCCCGGCGCGGAACCTCAATCTGACCATGCCCTTGGTCGTTCGATTCCCCGTAGGTCAGGGTCAATTTGCTTCATACATTGCCTGATTCCGGGCCGGCGTAGGTTAAGGCAATATCTCGAAACGTACGCCGGCCATTATCCTCCTCGCCGCCAGGAATAATAGCAGCTCGAAGGCTGTTGGGACATTATAATGGCGACGGTCCGTATCCTCTTCTACAGAGAGAGAGTGTGTGAATTCATACGCTGACCCCTTGCCGACATCGGCGATATGCAGGATCTCCCTCACCTATCTCACTATATAATGCCTTATATACATTGAACCATTACTTTTCAGATGAATTTGGAGCCTCGTCGAGGCCTATGTTGGCCTACTTGCCTGGTGTTCTGTTCTGTGGCCCCCGTGGCGTATGACTTCGAAACCTCTGGGACGCGTCTGCAAAGTCCAGTACAGCCCCAAGGATGCTGCTGTCTTGTTCAGCGTCTGGTATCTTATCTTCCTTACCTTGTTGCCCTCCTAGCATAGTTGAGATGTTGCTACATGCGGCTCTGATCTTCTTGCGTAATTATTGTCGCAGGTCTCTGAGTTTCGGGCAGTCTACTAGCATGTAGTTTACGGTCTCGAGCTCCGCAGATACATCTATCATCGTCCTGGAAACTATGTTGTTTCTCATATGTCGCCAGCCAAGAGTGACCCCTCCGTAGTTATGTGAGTAGATATGCTTGGTTCCGGGGGAGCAATCCGTAGAGTCGTTGGGTACGAATTGCAGGTAGAGTTTGGTTGATTTGGCGGAGATGCTCTGCCTTTGAAGATTTGGTCTACTGTTCCTTCTACTTGCTTAGAATTTTTTTGCGGGTAAACCCCTTCTCCTAGGAAAGGAAATGTTAAAAGGGGTGCATCTTTCTCGGGCCTACAGCTTCTCTGGATAGCTAGTTAGCCTCGTCGTTGCTAGGACGGTCACAATGCCCTGGAACCTATTAGAGGCGAATCGGGATCCCTCGTGCTTTTATTTCCAAGGCTGCCTGCAGTATGGCTCGGGTAATTCGCTGGCCTGACTTATTGGACAGGCTTTGGATTGCCTGCAGTGCTGACATGCTGTTATTGAGAATGGTTGCTGGGTATTCGACTCGATATAAACTACCTTCTCTCTTCCGCGTTATTTAATAGACCAGGCTAATAGTATAGTAGATCGCCATAAGCTCTGCCGCGTAGACCGACTAATATTCTATTGATCTAATGCTGATTTATCTTAACTCTGACATCTACAGTTCCTTGTTAAGGGCTACAGCTGCAGCTCCTAAATAGCTCTATTAGCTAGATACATCGGAGAAGACCGTGATTCCTTATATATTTTATCTGGCCGCGGCGTTCTTCTTAGCTTGTTCCCGGTCAGGTTCGATCTCGATCTTAGTAAAGGCTTATTCTCGCCACGGTGCTAAGGGCTTCGGGTTAATTATCTCTAGGGCTTGTAGACGGCGGAGGTCTATTATTTTTAACGCTTTAGTCAGTGGGAAGTAGCAATGGTGTCCGGTATATGTGCTGTGGGTTCTTGCTCGTGCCATTACATCGTGTATTAGGCGGTGCTTCGGCACCGTACTAAGATAAGCCGCTACGAGCTGGGCGCGTTCCTTCAGACGTAGTTAAGTTAGCAGTATGTAAGATTCCACCTCTAGTGCTTGTGTTGAAACTGTCCGGAAAGCGGAAAGGATGCGAAGTAGAGCAGCTCGCTAGATGGTAGCCAGCTACAGCAGGTGTGTCTTATCCTTGAGGGGGTTATGCCACACGGTGGATGAATAGTCTACTACCGGTATCACGCAGTCTTATATGTTCCGGTCTTAGGCGTCGAAGCCCTACACTCTATGGCCAAAGCCATCGTGCCCTCGCTGCTTTTTCTCGCCGTCTGATTGGCCCAATTTTGATGTTCCGGCGTGCTCCCGTCCACCAGAGTGCGTGCCCGCAACAACCCCCTTTACCGTGCCTTACTTATCCTTATTACTTACTATTCACTATTGACTATTCACTATACTATACTGTTACTATACTATAGTTATACTGTGCCTTCCCTATAGCTCTTATCGAGGAAACCTTCCTCAGGAAGCACCCTTCCGTAGGCGCTATATTTAAATATATTAATAAATCTACTACTACGCGTTTCCGCGCGTCACCGACGCGTGAATAGCGTAAATAATAGTAAATTGTCTTTCTTCTAATCGAAAACACTTCTATCTTCTGTTCTATCTATACAGAGTCACATTCTTAGGCCTCTCTATCACCTATCTAGCTATCCCCTCTTAATGGATCTCTTTACCTATTACGAACCCTCTCGGGTCTGGATCTGTAAGCCCTGCCAGTTCGCGGTTCCACCGAGGCATCTGCAGGAACACCTCCGGACACGTCACTCCACCCATCCCACTGCGACCACTGGGGCCCTCCGACAAGACACCTACCAGCGAATGTCCAAACGGCCCTGGCTGGACCCGACCCGAGAGCCCTGCATCTACCCCGATGCTGGAAGCCCGCCGATCCCACACCTGCCGGTATACACCGGGTATCAGTGCCCTCGGTGCCGCTATATCGTCCGAGCCCCCAGAGTCCTTTTCAACCATATCCGGAAGACCCATCCCGAACTGGGCCGACCGGTTGGCCGTCAATGTACGACCGCCCGCTCCCAGGAGCTGGAAGCTCTCTACCGGGGACAGCCGGTGAGCTGCCAGCGGTTCTTTCCTGCGGCCGCGGGCAGTAGTTTCTTCGCCGTCACCCCGCGTGCGCAAGCCAAGCGGGCTCAGCAGGCACAGGCGCTAACCCCGGCCGAGTTCATCCGCGCCCAGGTTGAGGAGGCCCTTAAGCAGGATCTCGAGGATGAAGAGAGGCAGACCCAGCAGATCCCCCCGAAGAAACATGCGACCGAGATCTCGCCCTAGCTGGAGCTGACCCGATAGCCGGAGTACCTAGGGACCTGTAATCTGGCGGCAGCGGCCGACCTCAGCGCTCTTCCAGACCCCGGTCAAGAGCCTCTGCTCGTCCTGCTCGCCGAGAGCGTCGAGCGGCTCATCCAGCGGTCCTACCGGACGATCAAGGACCGCCGCATCAATGAGTTCGATCAGGTCACCATCAATACCTTCCTCACACAACGACCCAAAATCTGGGATCGACCGATCCAGATCCACCTGAAGCCGACGACCTACGCGTCCTACCGGCGGGTGTGGCAGCGGCTGATCTGCTTTATCTACCGGACGAGCCGCCCGGACCAGACGGTCCTGCTCCGCCATCAATTCACGTCGGCCCAGCTCGCGGCGTTGGACCGGATGGTCGAAGCCGGGACCCGGCTACTCCGGCGAACAAGAACAACCACAGCCACAACGACCGCCGCCGCCGCCGCTGCCACTGCAGCCACAGCTGCCAGCCTGGCTGAGCAGGAGAGGCTCGACCGGGCCTGCCTGGACCTGTCGATCGCCCTGTTGGACCACCCCTTAAAGGGAGAGCTCTACGAGAGTGCCCTAGTGGGCTTCCTCGCCGTTCTTGGGATCGACCCCCAGCGCCGGACGTTCCGGGATCCGTACTCCTACACCCACTACCTCTCGGGGCTGGTGAAGATCGCGCAGATACTCGTTGCGGAACAGGCGGTCGCTCTAGCGGAGCGTGGGTCCGTGGCCTACCCGACGGACGCCTTAGAGGACATGCGACCCCGGTTTCTTCTCTTTAGGGTCCAGGCCCCCTTTGGCTGGATTGCCCGCCTCCGGACCTACGGCAAGAAGATCCAGAACAGCACGACCAGCCTCAGCTATATCTATTAGAGCGACGATGAGCAGACCCTCAGCTACCGCGATCTCCGCCTGAGTATGACCGGCCTCCGCGATTTCGTCCGCACCCAGATAGAGCTCGCGCAACAGAGCCTGGAGAACCTCTTCCTCCTCCATAACGAGGAAACGCGAGGGCAGATCGTCCCCGTCTTGCCCCTGGAGCAGCTGCAGGATGATCCGGTCAACAACACGCGCGGATGGAACTTCCTGCAGCACCCCAGGAACGGGAAAGTACTGGGCCCCTCCGGCAAGCGATGGCTGATAGATCGGGTCTTAACTACGGACTGGCTGCGGGCCGAATTCCTCGACATTCGATCCAGTGACTCCCAGGTCGTCTAGCGGCCGGCCGCGGTCGATCGGTATCTCCAGCAGATAGACTGGTTCCTGGAGCGACTGCTGCTGCTCGTTCATGTCACCGCCGGGCAGCCGGGACGGGAGACCGAGCTCATCAGCCTCCGGCATAGCAATACCCTCCACGGACGCCACCGGAACATCTTCATTAAACATGGGCTGGTAAGCACGGTGACCTCCTACCACAAGGGGTATTCGATCAGCAACTCCACAAAGATCATCCACCGGTACCTGCCCAAGCCGATCAGCGAGCTCCTGGTCTACTATCTCTGGTTAATCCTGCCTTTCTGGCAGGCGATCCAGCGACTCACCCACCGATCGACGGGCCCGCGGTCGTCGTTCCTCTGGCCCAAGGCGACGGAGGGCACCTGGGACCCGAGCCGACTGCGGACCGTCCTGCAACGCGAGGCGGCGATTCACCTGCAGACGAAGCTGAACGTTGCCTCCTATCGGCATGCCGCCATCGCCATCTCGCGTGTTCATCTCAAATGCGGCGGGTTCAAGCGGGACTATGGCACGGATTCGGCCGCGTTTGACGAGCAGGCCAGCCATGGAACCTGGGCGGCGGGGACCGTGTACGCGCGGGGTCTGCAGGAAGCGCCCGGCCACGTGGAAGAACGGCGACGGCAGTATCGGGCGATCAGCCGCGAGTGGCATCAGTTTTTGGGCTTTGCGGTCTCCCTGGGACCGCGGAAGCGTCCTGCAGAGGATCCGCCAGAGGGTGCAAGGGCGAAGCGGACCTACATCTCCATCGAAATGGAGAAGGACTAGGCTCCCAAGTAATACTTTTCTCTTTTTTCTTTTTATTTCTGAAATACGCCAGGTGATAGTCGCTTACATGTATAGATATATATATTACTATGGAATAATCATATCAGTCAGGATGGGGGTTCTCCCGAGGAAGCCTTCCTCTGGACCTCCTAGATATATCATTCTCAGATATTTAGGAATGGGTTTCGCAGAATCCTTTAGAGCCCCGAATAGGAGGGGTGGAAACCGTAGGATGACCCCACGATATGGTGGCTGATCGATCGGGTGCGGGACGAGCCGCCGCTGCAGGGCGAGTTTATTCGGACCCACCACTTCTACCCTCTCCCCTAAAATGTGACACCAGTGAGTGCGTATAATAAGGGGTTTTTACGCCAGCAACGAGACCAAGATCACTCAGAGGTATCGGCGAATATCCCGGCGACGGCGTCTCAATGGCGCGCCTATAAGCCCATTGTCGGCGTGCCCTGGCGGACCGTCTTCCTACCTAGGCAGGGCTAGCTAATTCAATCATCATAGAATTGACACGTGGGACTCTTCCGCAACGCCCCTTTACCCTACAGACAGGGCTTTGTTTATGCGATGGATTGACCAGGGTGTATCGACAACCAAGACACGGCTGCCGGCCCTAACAATGGTCTTAGAAGTTGTCCTTTGTTATCCCCTCGCCCGCCATATCAATGGAAGCCTCCGGACAGGATGATCCGGTAGTTGAGGAAGATGCCGCTTGGTAGACCCCCCTCTTCACTACAACTAGCCTTTGCGCGAGCACGTTTGTATCGCCATGGGATCTACCATATGGAAGGTCCTGGAAAAGGATTCCCAGTCGCCCAACGTATAAATTAGCCCTCCCTCTTCTTCTTCTCTACACCTCCCCTTCTTCTCTTCCCCCCCAGCTCCTCAGGAAGCCTTTCCCAGGACCTCACCTCTACCTCGACCTTTCCCTCCACATTGCTCTTCACCTCTACCCTCTACCCTCACCTCCACCCCCACATTTACCTCTACCACACCCTGCACGATGTCGTCCAGCGACGCCTCGTCTGACGAGGACCTCGTTAACCAGCTACTTAACAACGACAACGATCAACTCCAAGATCTGGCAGAAGAATCGAACCTTGCCGGGTTCGACGTGACCGAGATATTATCCTGGAAAGGCGTCTGCGACGCTCTGGAGACAGTAAGCAGCGTGTCCGAGCTCAAGACATAGGCAAGGACGCACCTTTTCTGCCCATATTTTCTCCAGCTATACTTTGATTCCGTCCTCCCCGCCTAGCTCCAGGGAGACACCAGCCGCGGCGAATCGTTCTCCACCATCGTCCTCCGTATCCATGCCGCCACGAACAGCGGCGACATCCGGTATGTCAACCCGTTTGCCGACCGCAGCAAATGGGACAAAGCCGACTATCTTGCCCGCTGTTTAACCGGTCTCGTGGCCGCGAATACCTAGAACATTGAAGGCCTCTTTTACCGGAAGAACGTGCCCTTGGAGAGAAAGGAAAAGATCATGTGGGCCGTGATCCGTCTGGTCCGGCAGGACTTTGCCCTCTCCCGCGTCGAGAAAGGTATGAGCAACCTAGACCTTAACTAAGAGATCCGAGAGAAGATTCGCGACACGATCAAGAATCCCCCTCCTCTTCCCCCTCTCTCTCCTGCGCCTGAGGCGACGGCTCCCCCTGCCGATCCTGCCCTGCAGACGGAGACCCTGCAGAAGCCTTCCTCAGGACCCCCCTCTTCTGGTCCCACTGCCGCCCACCCCAAGCCGCCCGCTGGTTCTAAACGTTCCACCGGCCCTTCGCGCAAGAGAAGAACCCGCGCTAAGAATAAGAAATTAGCTCCTACAGACCCCGTGGACGCTCCTATCCGCACGCCCTTACCCGGGCGATCCATGTTGGCGACCGCCTCCGAGGCCGAGACACCTAGTAAACCACCGAAACAGCCTTCTCCGCGCAACTGGCGCGACGAGCTCATCCCCGCGACCAAACAAACCCTGCAGCCCGTCTCGCAGATACCAGATCTGAACGAGCCCTACTGGCAATTTCACTTTATCGAACTCTGTCTTCGGCAGGTTGAAACACTACTTGTCTAAGAGACGGACCCCGCCGAAGCCGCGACTGATAAACTGCCAGCTAAAGATAAACTCCCAGACGAGGCCGACGAGAAAGCATTGATCTCCTTCAAGCTCCTTATAGCGACGGCCCAGACCTACTTAATCTACCAGCCTACAGGTTAGGAGATCGACACCCTGACCCTCGCCTATTATACGGCCGAGACCATCGCCGACGCCCACGCGGAGGCACCCAATAGTTGTCTGACGCTTATCCAGCCCACCGCCGAATCTATCGCTATTACCCAAGAGCATCAGAGCTGGCTTGATAATCTCGACCTACAGCGCGAGAACCACGACGAGACCTATAAGGCCCTCGGTATCTAAAACCCTGATATCCCTAAGTTGCCAGCTATACGCATCAACACCGCGCTACGCTTCTGGCAGCCGGTGGCTATCTATGCCCTGGCTCAGTTTCGCGAGAATCCTCTGCTATTAGGCTGTATCCTGGCAGACATGGTCGGCCTAGGCAAAACGTAGATGGTTATAGCCTACATTATGTATGTGAGTCGCCCTCTGCTCCCTTCTGCGTGGAGACAGGTAGCTGCTAGGGAACCCTTCCCTAGGACCTCCCTCTCCTTCTAACTATATTATTAACCCGACGGTTCTTCTAGCGCGCCACGAAGTTAAAGGGCTAGCCCACGCTCATCGTCTATCTACTCTATCTAGTCTAGTAGTAGGCGGCCGAGATCCAAGCTGTAACCAACCGCCTCCAGGTAGCCATAGGGTGTTTGCCGACTAGACTTAGAGCCCCAACAACGTCGATGCCATGTAAAAATTCGCTGAGGTATAGAGTAGCTAATGCACAATCCTGCCCTTCAATCAGAATTTTAATATCTTCTTCCGTTCGCGTGGAATCGTTAGCCAAAGTTGGCAACTTTTGAGGTTTTCCGGGTGGAAGATTACTTAATCATCCCGCTCGACTTAACGTCTCAAAACTAAGCCTTTTTCGATTAAATTCCTCAACACTAAACTACTTTCAGATTTGTCCTCAACACTAGACCTATTTTGGTTTTATATTCTAAACACCTCTACTTCCTGGCACACTACACACTGCTTCTTTCAACCGCTATACTTCGCACATTCTGACACTGCTTTACTTATAAGGAAAGTGTAAGGCTCTCGGTCATGTCCGAAAACCTTGCTATCGGTTGCCTGGCTAGGGAAGGTTGTAATAATATGTTGTTTTAAGATCATCTTCGAGACAGAATAGAAACCGACCTATTTATCCTGTTACCCCTTTTTCTTATTTCAACTTTCGACGACCAAGGAACTTGAAATCTCTCTATCTTATAGCGCCGCCTACTTTCTCTACCCTCTCTTAGGCTTCGGTTTCGGTGATTCTTCCGATATTATGTCTCCCCTTAACTCTACTTCCACCCGAAAGCGCGGTCGGCCCCCCCAAGTATCAGTCTGCAGAAGAGCGACAGGCCGCGAAGATAACACGACAACGAAATCAGCGACAAGCCGCCCAAGCGGCTAAACGCAACACCTTCTTTGATGAATACTACTCGGCCGGTCCATCTGCAACTGGTGAACGCCCGATCGCTTCTCTTCCTGGCATAGCGGCGTCGTCGGTGACCCATGAACTGGAAGAGTTGCTCCCGCCGTTAAGCCCCAATCCAGCTCCTCTGGAGCTCGAAGATAGCTCTATCCTAATTGACGAGCCGCCTCTAGAGCTCAACAGTCTCGAACCTGCCGCTAGTCCTACCCCTAACCTTCCCGAACAGTCCCGACCAACGCACAGTGAGCCCCTCGAGGGTGATCTATCAAATTTAGAAACCGGAAGCCCTGCCCCAGCGGCTGCCGAGGATCGCGAGGATATTTGCACGCTGGCACGCGCGCTGGCCGACCAGCTGTATCAGCATCACGGCTGTTGTCGGGAGTGCCATGAGCAGGCCCGTGTGGCGCACCACGAGACGCATTCGGTTCATACCGGGCTGGGGGAGTATGTGGACCAGATTAACATTGATGGCGACTTCCCAGATGTGTTGGGCTCGGCTACGATCGCGGCCCGCGAGTCCAATCTCGCCCAGCAAGTCACCAAGGCACGAAAACAACAGATCTACTGCGGCATCGATCCTCACAAGCCCGATGAATCCCCAACGCATCTCTGCGTGGCAGCCGACCATCGTCCCGATCCTTCCTTGGGCGTGACTGTTGATATCGATAGCGTGGGTAGGTTTGTCAGTAGTCTGGCGGTAGCTCGTCGGGGGATCCGATGGCATCCTACGCAGATGGCGGTGTCCGACCTCCAGTCCAGCCTGCATCTAGATCCGGTTTCAGTCCAGTATTTCGACTCAACCGGGCAGGCCCACCATGTTCGCCGGCCGGTCCATCAAGTGCCGCACTATACCTTTGGTCGTCTAATTAGATTCGAAGATATCTCTCTGTATCTACTCTTTCCCCGACTGTACCGGGAAGATCAGCAATCCAGCCGTCTGCTAGACCAGGATTTCACAGCAATGGACGGACGAAATCCTCCTCCCAATCATCAATCGGTGTTATTCCGGGCGACCTGATCCAGCACTACCCCTCTAGCTTCGACCATAGCCGGCTGAACGCGACCGCCCGGGGAGTGGAAATGCGGTCCCAGCGAGTGGATCCGATCCCCTCGCGAGCAGTTGCTTTCCTACTTTCTTCCTCCCGAGGCGCTTCCCACAATCTGGGAACAGATTCTAGAGGCGACCCACCGCCCCGGATTCCACCAGTTTCAGGATCTTAAGATTCTAATCGAGGGGAAAAACCTAAAGACCCTGACTAAGGCAGACACATTGGCCGATCTCATGACGGGCTTTGCAACAACACTGGCAGAATGCTGTTAACGAGGACGTTCTTGCCGAGCCGTTCTTCTACGATCTCGGTAAGGAAACCTGCCCAACCACGGCGAGCGCGCAAGAGAGGCCGCCGCAATCTTTACTCTGGCGGCGTTGTTGCCTGAACGCGTATAGCCAGTGGATCCATAGCAAGCAGCCAGCGGACGCGCCCCATGCTCTGCAGCACTTCTACCCAATCAGTATGCTAGAAGACACCGGCAGCCTGACGTTAGAGACCCGGCGAACATCACCGCAGCGGCGGGCCGGTCTCTATTATAGTCAATTCTACGCTAGTGTGAAAGAGGTCTTCGCCGCCGGCAATACATATCCATTTACCAATAC